TGTAGTGTCTCTACTTTAAAGAGTCCTCTCCTGCTGATGTTCAGGTATATATCAGTATATAGTGTCTCTACTTTAAAGAGTCCCTCTCCTGCTGATGTTCAGGTGTATATCAGTTGTAGTGTCTCTACTTTAAAGAGTCCTCTCCTGCTGATGTTCAGGTGTATATCAGTATGTAGTGTCTCTACTTTAAAGAGTCCTCTCCTGCTGATGTTCAGGTGTATATCAGTGTGTAGTGTCTCTACTTTAAAGAGTCCTCTCCTGCTGATGTTCAGGTGTATATCAGTATGTAGTGTCTCTACTTTAAAGAGTCCTCTCCTGCTGATGTTCAGGTATATATCAGTATATAGTGTCTCTACTTTAAAGAGTCCTCTCCTGCTGATGTTCAGGTGTATATCAGTATGTAGTGTCTCTACTTTAAAGAGTCCTCTCCTGCTGATGTTCAGGTGTATATCAGTATGTAGTGTCTCTACTTTAAAGAGTCCTCTCCTGCTGATGTTCAGGTGTATATCAGTGTGTAGTGTCTCTACTTTAAAGAGTCCTCTCCTGCTGATGTTCAGGTGTATATCAGTAGTGTAGTGTCTCTACTTTAAGAGTCCTCTCCTGCTGATGTTCAGGTGTATATCAGTATGTAGTGTTCTCTACTTTAAAGAGTCCTCTCTGCTGATGTTCAGGTGATATATCAGGTATAGTGTCTCTACTTTAAAGAGTCCTCTCCTGCTGATGTCTTCAGGTGTATATCAGAATGTAGTGTCTCTACTTTAAAGAAGTCCTCTCCTGCTGATGTTCAGGTGTATATCAGTATGTAGTGTCTCTACTTTAAAGAGTCCTCTCCTGCTGTATGTTCAGGTGTATATCAGTATGTAGTGTCTCTACTTTAAGAGTCCTCTCCTGCTGATGTTCAGGTGTATATCAGTATGTAGTGTCTCTACTTTAAAGAGTCCTCTCCTGCTGATGTTCAGGTGTATATCAGTATGTAGTGTCTCTACTTTAAAGAGTCCTCTCCTGCTGATGTTCAGGTGTATATCAGTATGTAGTGTCTCTACTTTAAAGAGTCCTCTCCTGCTGATGTACACCTGAACATCAGCAGGAGAGGACTCTTTAAAGAGTCCTCTCCTGCTGATGTTCAGGTGTATATCAGTATGTAGTGTCTCTACTTTAAAGAGTCCTCTCCTGCTGATGTTCAGGTGTATATCAGTATGTAGTGTCTCTACTTTAAAGAGTCCTCTCCTGCTGATGTTCAGGTGTATATCAGTATGTAGTGTCTCTACTTTAAAGAGTCCTCTCCTGCTGATGTTCAGGTGTATATCAGTATGTAGTGTCTCTACTTTAAAGAGTCCTCTCCTGCTGATGTTCAGGTGTAGATCAGTATGTAGTGTCTCTACTTTAAAGAGTCCTCTCCTGCTGATGTTCAGGGTGTTACAGTATGGTAGTGTCTCTACTTTAGAGTCTCTCCTGCTGTGTTCAGTTGTATCATTTACTTAAAGAGTCCTCTCCTGCTGATGTTCAGGTGTATATCAGTATGTAGTGTCTCTACTTTAAAGAGTCCTCTCCTGCTGATGTTCAGGTGTATATCAGTAGTAGTGTCTCTACTTTAAGAGAGTCCTCTCCTGCTGATGTTCAGAGGTGTATATCAGTATGTAGTTCTCTACTTTAAAGAGTCCTCTCCTGCTGATGTTCAGGTGTATATCATGTATGGTGTGTCTCTACTTTAAAGAGTCCTCTCCTGCTGATGTTCAGGTGTATATCAGTAAGTGATGTCTCTACTTTAAAGAGTCTCTCCTGCTGATGTTCAGGTGTATATCCAGTATGTAGTGTCTCTACTTTAAAGAGTCCTCTCTGCTGTGTTCAGGTGTATATCAGTATGTAGTGTCTCTACTTTAAAGAGTCCTCTCCTGCTGATGTTCAGGTGTATATCAGTATGTAGTGTCTCTACTTTAAAGAGTCCCTCTCCTGCTGATGTTCAGGTGTATATCAGTATGTAGTGTCTCTACTTTAAAGAGTCCTCTCCTGCTGATGTTCAGGTTATATCAGTATGTAGTGTCTCTACTTAAAGAGTCCTCTCCTGCTGATGTTCAGGTGTAATATCAGTTATGTAGTGTCTCTACTTTAAAGAGTCCTCTCCTGCTGATGTTCGGTGTATATCAGTATGTAGTGTCTCTACTTTAAAGAGTCCTCTCCTGCTGATGTTCAGGTGTATATCAGTATGTAGTGTCTCTACTTTAAAGAGTCCTCTCCTGCTGATGTTCAGGTGTATATCAGTATGTAGTGTCTCTACTTTAAAGAGTCCTCTCTGCTGATGTTCAGGTGTATATCAGTGATGTAGTGTCTCTACTTTAAAAGAGTCCTCTCCTGCTGATGTTCAGGTGTATATGCAGTATGTAGTGTCTCTACTTTAAAGAGTCCTCTCCTGCTGATGTTCAGGTGTATATCAGTAGTAGTGTCTCTACTTTAAAGAGTCCTCTCCTGCTGATGTTCAGGTGTATATCAGTATGTAGTGTCTCTACTTTAAAGAGTCCTCTCCTGCTGATGTTCAGGTGTATATCAGTATGTAGTGTCTCTACTTTAAAGAGTCCTCTCCTGCTGATGTTCAGGTGTATATCAGTATGTAGTGTCTCTACTTTAAAGAGTCCTCTCCTGCTGATGTTCAGGTGTATATCAGTATGTAGTGTCTCTACTTAAAGAGTCCTCTCCTGCTGATGTTCAGGTGTATATCAGTATGTAGTGTCTCTACTTTAAAAGAGTCCTCTCCTGCTGATGTTCAGGTGTATATCAGTGTGTAGTGTCTCTACTTTAAAGAGTCCTCTCCTGCTGATGTTCAGGTGTATATCAGTATGTAGTGTCTCTACTTTAAAGAGTCCTCTCCTGCTGATGTTCAGCGTGTATATCAGTATGTAGTGTCTCTACTTTAAAGAGTCCTCTCCTGCTGATGTTCAGGTGTATATCAGTATGTAGTGTCTCTACTTTAAAGAGTCCTCTCCTGCTGATGTTCAGGTGTATATCAGTATGTAGTGTCTCTACTTTAAAGAGTCCTCTCCTGCTGATGTTCAGGTGTATATCAGTATGTAGTGTCTCTACTTTAAAGAGTCCTCTCCTGCTGATGTTCAGGTGTATATCAGTGTGTAGTGTCTCTACTTTAAAGAGTCCTCTCCTGCTGATGTTCAGGTGTATATCAGTATGTAGTGTCTCTACTTTAAAGAGTCCTCTCCTGCTGATGTTCAGGTATATATCAGTATATAGTGTCCTCTACTTTAAAGAGTCCTCTCCTGCTGATGTTCAGGTGTATATCAGTATGTAGTGTCTCTACTTTAAAGAGTCCTCTCCTGCTGATGTTCAGGTTGTATATCAGTATGTAGTGTCTCTACTTTAAGAGTCCTCTCCTGCTGATGTTCAGGTGTATATCAGTATGTAGTGTCTCTACTTAAAGAGTCCTCTCCTGCTGATGTTCAGGTGTATATCAGTATGTAGTGTCCTCTACTTTAAAGAGTCCTCTCCTGCTGATGTTCAGGTGTATATCAGTATGTAGTGTCTCATCTTTAAAGAGTCCTCTCTCTGCTGATGTTCAGGTGTATATCAGTGTGTAGTGCTCTACTTTAAAGATTCCTCTCCTGCTGATGTTTCAGGTGTATATCAGTATGTAGTGTCTCTACTTTAAAGAGTCCTCTCCTGCTGATGTTCAGGTGTATATCAGTATGTAGTGTCTCTACTTTAAAGAGTCCTCTCCTGCTGATGTTCAGGTGTATATCAGTATGTAGTGTCTCTACTTTAAAGAGTCCTCTCCTGCTGATGTTCAGGTGTATATCAGTGTGTAGTGTCTCTACTTTAAAGAGTCCTCTCCTGCTGATGTTCAGGTGTATATCAGTATGTAGTGTCTCTACTTTAAAGAGTCCTCTCCTGCTGATGTTCAGGTATATATCAGTATATAGTGTCTCTACTTTAAAGAGTCCTCTCCTGCTGATGTTCAGGTGTATATCAGTATGTAGTGTCTCTACTTTAAAGAGTCCTCTCCTGCTGATGTTCAGGTGTATATCAGTATGTAGTGTCTCTACTTTAAAGAGTGTTCCTTGATAGCAGCGAGTCTGTTGTTGTGTTTGCTCTCGACGCTATGCAACCACGTAACCTGATGAAGAACAGCTGATAGCGACCTTTAATAACCCCACACACACACACACACACACACTGTTCCTGCAAGCGTACCTAATACTGTGTAAACATTGCATGATAATCACAAGTTCCCTTCATTTTACACCTTTTTGTCTCACCTCACCTCTTCACCTGTCTCTCCTCACCTGTCTCTCCTCACCTGTCTCTCCTCACCTCCTCCTCACCTGTCTCTCCTCACCTGTCTCTCCTCACCTGTCTCTCCCCCCTCTCTCACCTCTCTTTGTCTCTCCTCACCTCCTCCTCTCTCTGTCTCTCCTCATTCGCTTTTAAAATATACCAAATAAACAACAAACCAGTCCTAATCATCTTTTATTTTGAAAAGCTAATCATGCAGGGGGTGTTTCTCAATGTCGAGGAAGGATCCTTCAGAGCCACTATTTCAAGGATGCTACGTCATCGAGTGCCGCCAATGTCCAGGATCCTTGGAATTCTACCGAGGACTGAATCCTTCGTTGCGGGAAATTTCAAGGCTGCACCAGTGTATCCTCCGCGGTCTTAAAATCCCCACAATGCTTTGCGCACGGACCAATTTCCCAAATCTGTGGCGGAAAATGTAAGAGGCGGGGCCTCTCATGTGACGCACACTTGCTCGCCTGTTCCACTCTTCGTACTCCGAATGCCAGGAAGGATACTTGCCTAGCCTCTGATGGACCTGACTCGGAAAGACATGTCCTACCAAGGAAGCGTCCTCGACATTGAGAAACACCCAGAGTTTCATTAAAGACGTTTTTTTGTATCCTGCAAGTTTTGTTCTTCTTTCATTTCATAAAAGCTGAGAAAACTGTTTTTTGGTTGATTTTAAAAAGAGTGATTTATTTTATTTTTGTCTTCCTTCCCAGATATCCAGGAGTTTTACGAAGTGACTTTATTGGACCAGAGCCAGCGTTGGGGGGAGTCGTCGAAGCCGGCGGACCCGATGGCGCCCGTCCAGCTTTGGGACTTCTCGAGCCTCCAGAGCCCGACGACCGCCTCGGAGACGCTGCCCAGCCTTAGCACCAGCATCGAGGTAAGGAGAGCAACACAGATACATATTTATATATATGTATTATTAACACCGGAAATATATGTATTTTATTTTATTATGTATTGTTTTCATTTTTTTTCTCGCTTTTAAATATATTTTCTGATTATTTATTAATTTTATTTTAAATTATTTATTATATTAGTTATTATCATTAATGTTTTTATTCATTGCAAAATTTAATTTAATTTAATTATTTTTCTTTATAATTTTCTTTAATAATTTTTCTTTAATATTATATATATTTTTTATTTTATTGCATTTTTTATATAGATTTTATTCATTTATTTTATTCTTGATTATATTATCTTCTATTATATATTTTAGTTTTTTCTTTATCATATTTAATTTCATTTATTCAACTCTTTAATTTTTTATTTAATAAATAAATAAAAATTCTTAAATGTCTAAAAAGCATCAAACCCAATTTCCCGTGAATTTCCCCGTCTCTGTTCTGGTTCTGTATTGAAAGGCTTGTTCTCTGTCTCTGTTCTGGTTCTGTATTGAAAGGCTTGTTCCCCGTCTCTGTTCTGGTTCTGTTTTGAAAGGCTTGTTCTCTGTCTCTGTTCTGGTTCTGTTTTGAAAGGCTTGTTCTCTGTCTCTGTTCTGGTTCTGTATTGAAAGGCTTGTTCCCCGTCTCTGTTCTGGTTCTGTATTGAAAGGCTTGTTCTCTGTTCTGGTTCTGTATTGAAAGGCTTGTCCCCCGTCTCTGTTCTGGTTCTGTATTGAAAGGCTTGTTCTCTGTCTCTGTTCTGGTTCTGTATTGAAAGGCTTGTTCCTCGTCTCTGTTCTGGTTCTGTATTGAAAGGCTTGTTCCCCGTCTCTGTTCTGGTTCTGTATTGAAAGGCTTGTTCTCTGTCTCTGTTCTGGTTCTGTATTGAAAGGCTTGTTCTCTGTCTCTGTTCTGGTTCTGTATTGAAAGGCTTGTACCCCGTCTCTGTTCTGGTTCTGGATTGAAAGGCTTGTTCTCTGTCTCTGTTCTGGTTCTGTATTGAAAGGCTTGTTCTCTGTCTCTGTTCTGGTTCTGTATTGAAAGGCTTGTTCTCCGTCTCTGTTCTGGTTCTGTATTGAAAGGCTTGTTCCCCGTCTCTGTTCTGGTTCTGTATTGAAAGGCTTGTTCTCTGTCTCTGTTCTGGTTCTGTATTGAAAGGCTTGTTCTCTGTCTCTGTTCTGGTTCTGTATTGAAAGGCTTGTTCTCCGTCTCTGTTCTGGTTCTGTATTGAAAGGCTTGTTCCCCGTCTCTGTTCTGGTTCTGTATTGAAAGGCTTGTTCCCCGTCTCTGTTCTGGTTCTGGATTGAAAGGCTTGTTCTCTGTCTCTGTTCTGGTTCTGTATTGAAAGGCTTGTTCCCCGTCTCTGTTCTGGTTCTGTATTGAAAGGCTTGTTCTCTGTCTCTGTTCTGGTTCTGTATTGAAAGGCTTGTTCCCCGTCTCTGTTCTGGTTCTGTATTGAAAGGCTTGTTCCCCGTCTCTGTTCTGGTCACTGCTGCAGTAAAAATAGAGAATATTAAAAATAGATCAGACCTTTGAAGAGGGTTCGGTGTGTTTGATCTGCTGCAGGCATCCAGGCTCACTATCTAGGTATTATCAAGCATTCGGTGTTCAATCTTATACCTGAGGAAGTGAACCAAGCGCTGCTAACATCCAGATTTATATTAAAACTACAAACCCACAGTCGTGTGTTTTTTCCGTGACTGATATTTCCACATATTGGCCGAGCATCGGTGTCTCGGGGATTGATAATCGGAGTTGTGAGCAACATGGATGAAATATTTAGTGGTCAGTGTTGCATCAGAAGCTGCTGAGTCACCCCTTCCTGTCCGGGCCGTTTGTTAATGCCGCGTCATCGTTTACACCACCCTGTGTTCCTCTGGAGGATGATCGTGTGACTGAGAGAAGGTATTTTATTTAACAAACTTAAAATGCAGAAAAGGGCCTGTGTCAACATCTGAAAGCTGCAGCTCCTTTTTCTATATCCAGGAATGAGTCCAAAACCCTGGTGTGGAGACGTGAAGTCATGTGACCGTGCTGTACTTCCTTTATAGCCCAACATTAGCCTCCTTTAGCTTAGCGGTGGTGATGTGAAGTCATGTGACCGTGCTGTAGTTCCTTTATAGCCCAACATTAGCCTCCTTTAGCTTAGCAGTGGTGACGTGAAGTCATGTGACCGTGCTGTAGTTCCTTTATAGCCCAACATTAGCCACCTTTAGCTTAGCGGAGGTGATGTGAAGTCATGTGACCGTGCTGTAGTTCCTTTATAGCCCAACATTAGCCACCTTTAGCTTAGCGGAGGTGATGTGAAGTCATGTGACCGTGCTGTAGTTCCTTTATAGCCCAACATTAGCCTCCTTTAGCTTAGCGGTGGTGAAGTCATGTGACCGTGCTGTAGTTCCTTTATAGCCCAACATTAGCCGCCTTTAGCTTAGCGGTGGTGACGTGAAGTCATGTGACCGTGCTGTAGTTCCTTTATAGCCCAACATTAGCCCACCTTTAGCTTAGCGGAGGTGACGTGAAGTCATGTGACCGTGCTGTAGTTCCTTTATTGCCCAACATTAGCCACCTTTAGCTTAGCGGTGGTGATGTGAAGTCATGTGACCGTGCTGTAGTTCCTTTATAGCCCAACATTAGCCACCTTTAGCTTAGCGGAGGTGACGTGAAGTCATGTGACCGTGCTGTAGTTCCTTTAATAGCCCAACATTAGCCACCTTTAGCTTAGCGGGTGGTGATGTGAAGTCATGTGACCGGTGCTGTAGTTCCTTTAATAGCCCAACATTAGCCACCTTTAGCTTAGCGGTGGTGACGTGAAGTCATGTGACCGTGCTGTAGTTCCTTTATAGCCCAACATTAGCCTCCCTTAGCTTAGCGGTGGTGAAGTGAAGTCATGTGACCGTGCTGTAGTTCCTTTATAACCCAACATTAGCCACCTTTAGCTTAGCGGAGGTGACGTGAAGTCATGTGACCGTGCTGTAGTTCCTTTATAGCCCAACATTAGCCACCTTAGCCTTAGCGGTGAAGTCATGTGA